GCTTAACACGACACAGGTGTATGTGTGTTACAAGATACAGCTACAGTATATGTAACATAGCAGGTTATACCACAGCTTGACATGCCACAGTGTAGGCCTTACGTGTGTTACAACTAGACAGTTACAGTAATACGGCAGGTTATATGTTATTAATCACAGTATTGCGCATGCCACAGTGTACGTACTGCTTACCAAGAATACCATGTAGACAGTATTACTGTAACACAGAGAGTTGAAACAGCTTGGCATGCACAGATTAACGTGTGCTTACAGGTAGTACAGCATGTATGATACAACAGCAGGTGTTGAGAACAGCTCGACATGCCACTCAGTGTACGCTATGAATTACAACAGTAACAGCGTATGTAACACAAGCAGGTTAAAAACAGCTGGCATGCCACAGTAATGTACGTATGCTTACAAGTAAACAGGTGTATGCTAACACTTAGCAGGTTGAAACGAGCTTGGCCATGCCACAGTGTACGTCATCGTTACAAGTATACAGTGTATGTAACCACAGCGGTTGAAACAGCTCGACATGCCACAGTGTAGTATTTACAAGTATACAGTGTATGTAACACAGGCAGTTGAAACAGCCCTCAACATGCCAATGTACGGTATGTTACAATATACAGTGTATGTACCACAGCAGGTTGAAACAGCTTGGCATGCACAAGTGTACGGTATGTTACAAAGTATACAGTGTATGTAACCAGCAGGTTGAATGAACAGCTTGGCATGCACAGTTGATACGTATGTTACAAGAATACAGTGTATGCTACAAGCCAGCGGCTTGAAAAGCTTGAGCATGACCCACAGTGTACGTGTGTTACAAGTAAGTACCATGTATACAGTATATGTAACCACAGCAGGTTGAAACACTTGACATGCCACAGTAGTACGTGGTTACAAGAATACAGTGTATGTACCACAGAGGTTGAAACAGCTTGGACATGCCACAGGTACGTGTGTTACAGATACAGTGCTATGTAACACAGCAGGGTAAAACAGCTTGACATGCCACAGATGACGTGTGTTACAAGTATTATCAGTGTATGTAACACACGCAGGTTGAAACAGCTTGGCATGCCACAGTGACGTGTGTTACAAGCAATACCATCGTTACAAGTATATGTAACACAACAGGTAGAACAGTTGGACATGCCACAGTGACGTGTGCTTACAAAGTATACAGTGTATGTAACACGCCAGGTTGAAACGGCTTGCACATTGTTTTCAGATTAAGTATTACATAATGCCAGCAGAATAAAACTAATACCCAATGAAACCCAGCACCGAGAGTTATTAGGTATCATGAACACGTGTATAGCGTTGTTCTATGTGTAGGCCATTCAAAACTAGCGTAGCATAGAAGTATATACACAACAGCCGAGTGCAAGCACACTACAGTGCACATTCAGTGTCAGCTTAGTGAGCAGCAGCCATATGGTCTTGCGTACTCCTTTTTGGCCGGCTTCATGCGAGCGCGTATCTGGTTCATTGGTGTTTCTCCACAAGAGGCCGCAGAGCATCAAACAGCTTCTTGAATGCGCATCGGCCGCCCAGCTTTTCTTCCCCAGCATCCTCCTCGCGATCTGGACGACAAGAGCACACAGCCGTGCATGACGCTGTAAATTAAATTCTTTGGCATACTATCACCGCCTTATAATCCTATAATATATAAAGTGTTCGCCGATTTGTGTGTTCGCGCATAACTAGATAACTCCGCAGCCTAGAGGAAAACTAAATATATTTTCAGAATCAGCACGTCTGGGAGGTGGTTCTGGCTGAACAAAATTTCAAAAAAGTTAAAAAGTTAAAAAGTTATAAAAATTCTATTCATCAATAGATGGCGTACAGATTAACATTATACATCACGTACGTGTGAATCCATGGTGTATAACCATAACGGCCCAGTAGCCGAATTGATAAAGCATCAGACTCCTAAACCATTATTTCTGAGTACGAATCCCACCTCGGGAAATGCTTTGTTTCTTCACTTTTGCACTGTTAAGTATACATGTACTTCTGCCGTATTCACCGTTAATTTCAAAATGTAAATTTTTTTACCACATTTAA